AAAAAAATAGTTTCGTTTTATTTGTATAATGTTTAAGTTATTTGTTTAGCTTCCCTATGCTTTGAACTGCTATTGTGTTTGTTTTCCATTGTTCGTTGTTGTAACATTCTGACCCGCACCCTACTGCACATCTGTGGGAAAAAAGAGCTTTACAGCTCATCGGATTCCTCCTGCAGTACAAAATAAACATGCTGATTCTGATCGAACTCCGGTCGCAGGGGGCGGGGGCGGGCGTGGTTTGTTTCGCAGTGCGCTAACCACTGCGCCACCGCTCCCCGCACAACGAACACATCCGTGAGACCGCAATGGGCATCCCCCTCGCTGCCGATCCCCACGGCAGGCGAATTACTCGGTTCGCTGATGGATGACGCCGGTACTCTGTGTCTGTGTGTGTGTCTGTGTGTGTGTCTGTGTGTGTGTCTGTGTGTGTGTCTGTGTGTGTCTGTGTGTATGTGTGCGCATGCGAGAGAGACTCAGAGCGGCATCTGTAGTAGCGGCGGCGGGACTCCAATATCCCTTTGTGTGTGCCCCAATTAAAGAGGGCAATTTTCCGTTGTCGGACGTTTATAGTCACTGCATACGCAGCAACAAACCAAAAAAATCCACCGGCTTTACGTGTGGCCTACATTCTACATGTATGTGTGCTCTTGCCCTTACACCCGTTCCTCGGATGAGCACGGTTGGCTACGTACGGTACGGGGGTGGGTGGCCAGGGTCACGCCCGGCCGCCTTTGTCTCCCTGGCGGTGATGTATACACACCGCACCAGGTACTCATTCGACTTAGGGGGGGATACCCACGACCGCTTCAAGGCGATCGTCACCGGTGTTGGTCGTTAAGCGGGAATCGAACTTGGGTCACCGGGTTCGTAGCGCGGCGCGCTAACGCTCCCCCCACACACTACACACACTCACGGGCATATACAGTACACGTATACGTGCAACACACATCACACACAACCATTAGCACGGCTGGCTACGTACGGTGCGAAAGAAGTTCAACGTACGGTACTGTAAACATACATTCGTGCACATTCAACACCCTAATCATTCTAGACAACAATCACTCGACTTACTGTCACTCACGGATCCCTCGATCCGAGGGGGTTGGCAACCCACAACAATAATAATAATAAGAAGAAGAATTCGATATGCCAAGAGCCGAAATGCGTGTGAATGGCGCGTCACGAAGCAGTTCCTTAAAAGCCGCACGCGATTGCAGACAGCCCTGTTCGCGCCCTTCTAGAGAACATCACCACCATTGGCATCAGTCACTCACTCATCCATCTAGGCCCTCAATAGAATATCTTTAGACTGAACCAGTCTCTCACCCCTGTCGGCCTTCGATAGTGAGACTCTGCATCACTCTGGCCCTTCTAGAACATCACCACCATTGGCATCAGTCACTCACTCATCCATCTAGGCCCTCAATAGAATATATATAGACTGAACCAGTCTCTCACCCCTGTCGGCCTACGAGAATGTGAGACTCTGCATCACTCTGGCCCTTCTAGAACATCACCACCATTGGCATCAGTCACTCACTCATCCATCTAGGCCCTCAATAGAATATATATAGACTGAACCAGTCTCTCACCCCTGTCGGCCTACGAGAATGTGAGACTCTGCATCACTCTGGCCCTTCTAGAACATCACCACCATTGGCATCAGTCACTCACTCATCCATCTAGGCCCTCAATAGAATATCTTTAGACTGAACCAGTCTCTCACCCCTGTCGGCCTACGAGAATGTGAGACTCTGCATCACTCTGGCCCTTCTAGAACATCGTTACAATGCATATCAGTCAGTGAGAAGAATTGCGAGTACGTGTGGCGAGTTGAGCGGGGTGAGTGGTGTGTGGGAGAGCGGTCGTAGTGTAGCGGTTAGCCCTACGCTGCGCTACGAACCCGGCGGCCCGAGTTCGAGTCCCTGCTCACAGCCAACACCAAGTGACGATTATCTGAAGCGGTCCTGGGCCTCCCCGAGGTCGATTCAGCCTCAAATGAGTACCTGGTGCAATGTGTGAATATCGCCAAGAGGGAGACAAAGGCGGCCGGGCGTGGTGCTGGCCAACCCCCCCCCCCCCCCCCCCGTCGAGTGCCGTTCCGGCCTTCATAGGTGCTCACAAACAGCACTTGCCCCAACAGTCTGTTTAGGTTATAGGGGAATATTTGTCTTTGGTGTTGTCATTGTTGGTGCTGTCCGTGTTGTTGGTGTTGTTGTTGGTGTTGTTGGTGGTGGTGGTGTTATTGGTGGTGGTGTTGCTGTTGGTGTTCTTGGTGTTGTTGGTGGTGTTGTTAGTGGTGTTGGTACTGTTGTTGGTGGTGGTGTTGGTGGTGGTGTTCTTGGTGGTGGTGGTGTTGGTGGTGTTGGTGGTGGCGGTGTTGTTATTATTGACTGCGCTTGTGCACCACTGCTTACCCCAGCTGTAGCAGCATCGCCACCAAATAAATTTGCTTATTAAGTGACTGGCTGGTTGGCTGGGGGGGAGGGGAGGGTGCGGGCTGGGTGGGTGGGTGGGGGTGGGGGGGTATTGAGGGGGCCGATGTAGAGACGTGAGAGAGGGGAGTGAAGGGGTGGTGGGTGGGGTGGGTGGGGGGCCTTAGCTGGTTAATTATCCACTACGTCCACCCGCGCTCTTGCCCCATCACCATCTCTGTGCATTGTTTTGACAGTTCGGATATTGTGCTTCGGCTGGGGATGTCTCGTGTAATTAGCAATCGATACGGAAAAGGGGGGGGGGGGGTGGTGGGGGCGCGGGGGAGCAGGGACGGGGGGCGAGAGGAGGAGGAGGTGGTGGGGGTGGAGGAGTCGGGGAGAGAGGAGGAGGAGGGGGGGAGAAGGAGGAGGTGGAACGGGTGGGGCAATGGGACCGCCCCAGCTGTTGAGGATGAAAGGGGAGAGAGGGAGGGAGGGAGGAGGGGGCAGACGGATGGAGGTGCTAGGGTTAACGGGACACGAGGTGAGCGGGTGTAGAGGTCGTTGGGGAAGCGTGGAATGAAATGGGGAGGTGTGTGTGTGTGTGTCTTAGTCCGTGTTTTTGTGCGTGTGCTCGCTCGCAGCCCTTGCCCGCAACAGTCTGTTCGAGGCTATACGGGAGATCTTTGTCTGTGTGGATATGTGTGTTCCTGTGAATTAGTGCGCGTGTGTGTGTTTGTCGGTCATTGTGTATGTGTGCAGGCGTTTGTCTCTTTTGGTATTTGTTGATATGTGTGTGTGTGTGCGTGTGTTCGTTTTCATGAATGTGCGTGTCGGTGGGTCTTCATGTATTTGTGTGTATATGATTTGTTTGAATGTCTATATTTGTATGTGCGTGTGTCTCTACATGTGTATATGGGGAGCGGTAGTGTAGCGGTTAGCGCGCTGCGCTGCGCTACTAATCCGGCGACCCGAGTTCAATTCCCGCTCACGGCCAACACCGGTGTCGATTAATCTGAACCAGGTTTGGGCTTCCCCTAGGTCAACTCAGCCTCAAATAAGTACCCGCTGCGGTGTGTAAACATCGCTACTAGGGAGACAAAGGCGGCCGGGCGTGGTGTTAGCCGGTCACCCCGCTCGTGTGCCGTGCCGTCCTTCATATGTGCTCGCTAACAGCGCTTGCCCCAACACAGTTTGTTACAGGCTATAACGGGGGATCTTTGCATTTGCTGTATATGTGTACATGTACGTGTGTTCGGTCACGCAATTAAAGCACGTGTTGGATTTCCGGCGACGGCTAACATCAGTGGCGTTCATCTAAACCGTGGCTGGACCCCCCCCCCCTTCCCATAGGTCGAATGAGCACCAAACAACAGACGTGGTCGAACAAACACGCGGTGATTTGTCTGCGATACATTTCCAAGCGATAACTCACTTCGTTGAGCTATCATTTTGCGGCCATGTCGCTTCTGATAAAAGCAATAACGACGATAGCTCAGCGTGCCCTTTACCCTGCTAGGATACAACCGGACAAGCACACGGACGCAGACACACACGGACACAAACGCACGCACATGCCGACACAAAAACAAAGACACCCCGTGTAGCCTTTAACAAGTGCTGTTAGCGAGGAGGAACCTATGAAGGCCGACACCGGGGGGGTCGGTGACCGGTACCACGCCCGGCCGCCTTTGTCTCCCCATTGTTTACGTTTACACGGCTAGGAATTTAAGGCTGAGTCGACCCGAGGGGGTGCCTGAGGCCGGTTCAAATATTCGCCAACTGGCGTTGGTCGTGAACGGGAATCGAACCCGGGTGGCCGAGTTCACAGCGCAGGCCACTATCCTTTAACACACAAAAAAAACAGACGAAGATCCCCCGTGTAGCCTTAACCGACTGTAGGGGCAAGTGCTGCTAGCGAGCACCTATGAAGGCCGGAACGGTACAAGAGGGGGTGGGTGGATAGCACCACGCCCGACCGCCTTTGTCTCTCCAGTGGCGATGTTTACACACCGCACCAGGTACTCATTTGAGGCTGAGTCGACCTAGGGGAGGCCCAGGACCGGTTCAGATTATCGTCACCGGTGTTGATCGTGAGCGGGAATGAACCCGGGTCGCCGGGTTCGTAGCGCAGCGCGCTATTCGCTCCCCACAGCCACACACATCTACACTAACAAAGATCCCGCGTGTAGCCTTCACAGACTGTTGGGGCAAGTGCCGTTCGCGAGCAACCTATGAAGGCCGGCACACGACGGGATGGGTGACCAGCCGCCTTTGTCTCCCTAGTGGCGATGTTTTTTTTTGTTTAACGCACCGCACCCGGTGCTCAATTGAGGCCGAGTCGACCTAGGGGGGAGGCCAGCACCCACACACACACAGACACACGCGCAGTGTGGAGAACCCATCCCCGTAGGCGTGAGACGTCACGCACATTCACCATCTCCCATTGGCCACATCAACGCCGAGCCCTCCCCCTTCCTAGCACCATTAGGGCACCCCCTCCCCCCAAATTTCCTCCTCCCCCCGCCCCTGCCCCCCCCTCCTCCCCAAGACCTCCCCGCCGCATCCCAAAAGCGCGCGGGATGAACGAGGCGCAGCAGCGTCAGAGGGAGATTTGACGGCGGCTCCGTCACTCGCACCAAAGTTCTCTTTTCCGTCTTCGCCTTCTCTTCTCTTCCCCCCCCCTCCCCTTCCCCCCCCCCCTCTCCTCCAGCTCCCTTCTCCACGACTCAGCGCTCATTCTTCCTTCGATGGTTCCCCGAGTCCTCCTCCGTTTCATTCGTTCCCATTGATTTCATTCGCGCGCTCCCGTCCGGCGGCGGCGGCGGCGCGCTAACGTCGCTCCGTCATTTAAGCGCCCGCGAGCCCATCCGCGAATTGGTGGAAATCGCGCGCGAATGCGAACATTGAATAGAAATACAGACAGCGTAGAGAGACCGCGCGCGTGTGTGCATCGTTAATGCAATTAAATATTGAATATTTTTTTAAAAAATGATATAGACATTATTTCGAATCGTTGCAATTGAACGCGCGTATAACGCACACCACACCACACGTGCGTTGATGTTCAATGGGCACGCGTATGTGTATATAATTTCACGGCCGGGCTATAATCCAGACGGAACACATACATATATATGTGTGTGTGTGTGCACACGCGTCTCTATGTGTAGTATTAATGTCGAGGCTTAGTGCCGCGTTAACTGCCGAGTCAGCAAATCCGCTGCCTTATAATCAGCAGCAGCAGTAGTAGCAGGGAGTATCAGTAGCATCTGCAGCTGTGCTATAATCATCAGCGGTATCGGCAGCAGAAACGCCAGCTTTGTTATTATTATCACCATCAGCTGCAGCAGCTGCAGCAGCAGTAACCATATCTACAGCACCATCATCATCATCCCAATCACAGGCAGCAGCAGCAGCAGGAAGAGCTGTATCATCAGCAGCGGGATCAGATGCACAAGCAGTAGCGTTCAACTGTGATACCATCACCGATTACACGACCACAGCTACCACCAAACCACCACCAGCTACATCAGCATCAATCATCACCCTCGCCACCACGGGCTACATCAACCACGATCATCATCATCATCCTCACCCACTCTCACCAACACCTTAACCACGGCATAATCCTCACCACCATCAAATTCAACCTTTCACCACCACCCGTCACCAAAACCTCTCCACCCCGGCACCGTGGCGCTGTGAACGGCGACTTTCCTCCCCATCCCTCCTCCTCCTCCTCATCATCATTATGGAGAGAAGAATTCTCGAGTTCCACCAGGCTCAGTTCGGCCTGGGATTGGCAGCGCTGCCCGGGTTCCGCTACCCGCTCACCCCTCACCCGGTCTTCGACGTGGCACCCCACCAGCTCGACACCACGCCGAGACCCGGCCCGGCACCCTTCACCATCGAGGGCCTGCTCAGCGGGGGGTGTCCGGAGCCGCTCACCCCCGGCGCGGCAGCCTACCTGGCCGGAGACAGCTCGCTGCCACTCGCCGGTGAGATGGCGGGGACGCGTACCGGGGCAAGAGCGGGTGGTTGGTGATGGTGGGATGAGGATGGTGGGGGGAGTGATTGCGCTGTACGAGACGCGAGCGAGGCCTGCTGTCGCGGTGTGCGATGGTTTGTTGTCGTTTGTTATAACGGTGCTGGTGTGCACCTAGCCTGGCACCACCGCTACTGCGGTGGCGTCAATGCCACTTAGTTGCAACGGCACAGCCCCGCTGAGTTGTGAACGCCAGCCGCTGCTGTTGTTGTGCACGTGTTGTTGTTGTGTACGTGTTGTTGTTGTTGTGCACGTGTTGTTGTTGTCGTGCACGTGTGGTTGTGCTGATGTCGTGTGTGGTGTGTGGTGGGATCGTTGTGTGGTGTGGTTGTTGTGTATGTGCGGTTGTGTGATAGGTGTGTGCTTGTGCTAATGTAATTGTGTGTATGTGGTGTGTAGCTGTGTGATTGTGGTTGTGTTGATTTCGGTGGTGTGGTGTGTGTGTGTGTAAATACATGCGCTCATAGGTATGTATGCACAATGTTACGTACACTGTCATCACAGTACAGTATTGTGTGTGGGTATGGGGAGCGGTGGCGCAGCGGTTAGCGCACTGCGCTACGAACCCGTCGACAATGAGTGTGCGATGATTGTGGTCTGCAGCTTCGTTATGCATATGCGGTGGTGTTTGTGCGGTTGTTTTGTGTGAGCGTGGTTGTGTATACATGGTGTGTGTGTGGTTGTTTTGTGTATGCGTGGTCGTGTATACGTGGTGTGTGTATGGTTGTTTTGTGTGTGCGTGGTTGTGTATACGTGGGGTATGTGGTATACATGGTTGTGTATGTGGTGTGTGTGTGTTGTGTATATTTAGTGTGTGTTGTGTCCATGTGCCTGTGTACCTGTCATTGCGTGCAACGGTTATTGTTGTGTGCGTTATGTGCATCTGTGTGAAATTGTGCGTGACAGCCTTACATGAGTAGTACCTGGTGCGGTGTGTAAACATCGACAATGGAGGGAGGGGGGATACAAAGGCGCTCGGGCGTGGATTCACACCACACCATCCCCTCGTGCGCAGATTCCCGGACTCATTCATTGCCGCTTGCGAACTGCACTTGCCCCCGCAGCCCTGTGCGTAAATGGCACATGGGGCACCTTTGTCTTTGCATTTATGCGTGCCGGTTGTGTTGTACGTGTGACGTATGTGTGTATGATGCTTGTACACTGTACGTGTGTAGATTGTGCTGTGTGTGTGCTGTACGTGTGTAGATTGTGCTGTGTGTGTGTGCTGTGTGTGCGCGCTGTGTCTACGTGTGTAGCGGTTAGCGCGCTACGCTGCGCTAACGAACCCGGCGACCCGAGTTCGATTCCCGCTCACGGACACCGATGACGATTATCTGCACCGGTCGTGGGCCTCGCCTAGGTCGACTAAGCCTCAAACGAGTACCTGGTGCGGTGCGTAAAAACATCGCCACTGGGGAAACAAAGGCGGCCGGGCGTGGTGCTGGCCACCCACCCGCCTCGTATGCCGTGCCGGCCTTCGTAGGCGCTACTCGCTAACAGCACTTGCCCCAACAGCATAATGTAGGCTATACGGGGGATCTGTGCCTTTTGTTGTATGTTGTGTGCTATTCGTGTCTGTCATGTGTGCGATTGTATCGTGAGCGGGGTGTTCGTGTGTGCTCGTCTGTGTGCGCGATTGGTTGCGTATGGTGTGAAGTGTGTGGTGTGCTGCGTGTGATGCAGTTGTGTGTGTGGTGATACGAATCTGTGATTGTATTGTGTAATAGTATTGTGTGTGATGTGTGTGTGATTGTATTGTGTGTGTGATAGTATTGTGTGTGATGTGTGTATGATTATATTGTGTGTTATGTGTGTGTGATAGTATTGTGTGTGATGTGTGTGTGATTGTATTGTGTGTTGTGTTGTGTGTGATAGTATTGTGTGTGATGTGTGTGTGTGATTGTATTGTGTGATGTGTGATAGTATTGTGTGATCTGTGTGTGTGATTGTATTGTGTGTTATGTGTGTGTGATAGTATTGTGTGTGATGTGTGTGTGTGATTGTATTGTGTGATAGTATTGTGTGATGTGTGTGATTGTATTGTGTGTGGTATGTGATTATATTGTGTGATTGTATTGTGTGTGTGATACTATTGTGTGTGATGTGTGTGTGTGATTGTATTGTGTGTTGTGTGATTGTATTGTGTGTGGTATGTGATTGTATTGTGATTATATTGTGTGTGGTGTGTGATAGAATTGTGTGATGTGTGATAGTATTGTGTGATGTGTGTGTGATAGTATTGTGTGATGTGTGTGATGTGTGTGATAGTATTGTGTAAGGTGTGTGTGATAGTATTGTGTGATGTGTGTGATTGTATTGTGTGTGTAAGGTGTGTGTATATATCTGCGACATGTGTTTTTATCTGTATGCGTCCGGTGTGTGTAATCTGCAGTGTATATATGTGTGGCAAGCGTCTGATGCGTGTGTGCCATTGGAAAGTGTGTATACGTGTTGTGTGTGCGTGTACACGTGTGGGGAGCGGCGGGACAGCGGTTAGCGCGCTGCGCTACGAACCCAGCGAACCGAGTTCGAATCCCGCTCACGATCGCCACAACCCAGTGACGATTATCGGGCCTCCTCAGCCTCAAATGAGTCCCTGGTGCGTAAAACATCGCCACTGGGGAGACAAAGGCGGCCGGGCGTGGTGCTGGCCACCCACCTCCTCGTGTGCCGTGCCGGCCTTCATAGGTGCTACTTGCTGACAGCACTTGGCCCTAAAGTCTGCTACAGGCTACACGGGGGATCTTTCTATATATTTGCCTGTCTATATATGTGAGTGATGTTTGTATATATGTGTGTTTATATATTGCGGTGTGTTTAAATCTGATACATGTGTGCAATGTGTGTGTGTTTTGTGTAAGTATGCAGTATATGTGTAGACTGTTTAATGTGTGTACATGCATGATGTGTCTATGCACTCGTATACATGTATGTATATGGTACACTATAACTGTGTTGTATTATACTTGTGTGTGTGTGCTGTTGTGTGTTGTGTACTCGCTTAATAATATGTGTATTTCCGTATATTGGTAAAAAAAATATTGCGAATGCAATATTGTTTATTACGAATCCTCCCCGACATTTAGTAAATGTTGTTAATGTGTGTTTATGTTGTTAACAGTGTATATGTTGAAGTCTTTTGGCGCTGTACGTAGCCAGCCGTGCTAGTCAGAGGTGCGGTGCACGGTTTGTGTATGTGTGCTGTGTGCATGCTTTGTGTGTGTGCGCGCATGCTTTGTGTGTGTGTGCTGTGTGCATGCTTTGTGTCTGTGTGCTGTGTGCATGCTTTGTGTGTGTGCATGCTTTGTGTGTGTGTGCTGTGTGCATGCTTTGTGTCTGTGTGCTGTGTGCATGCTTTGTGTCTGTGTGCTGTGTGCATACTTTGTGTGTGTGTGCTGTGTGCATGCTTTGTGTGTGTGTGCTGTGCGCATGCTTTGTGTGTGTGTGCTGTGTGCATGCTTTGTGTGTGTGTGCTCTGTGCATGCTTCATGTGTGTGTGTGCTGTGTGCATACTTTGTGTGTCTGTGTGCTGTGTGCATGCTTTGTGTGTGCTGTGTGCATATTGTGTGTGTGTGCTGTGTGCATGCTTTGTGTGTGTGTGTTGTGTGCATGGTGTACAGTCTGTGTGTTGTATGTATTGCATGTGAAAGTGTGTGGTGTGTATGTATGTTGTATAAGCGTGTGTGTATGTGCCGTGTGTATGAGTGTTGTATGTTGTAGGTGTGGAGGGGAGCGGTAGTGTAGCAGTTAGCGCGCTGCGAATCCGGTGACCCGAGTTCGATTCCCACTCACGGCCAACACCCCAGTGATGATTGTCTGAACCGGTCCTGGGCCTCCCCTAGGTCGTCTCAGCCTCAAATGAGTAACTGGTACGGTGTGTGTGTATATATCACCACTGGGGAGACAAAGGCGGTCGGGCGTGGTGCTAGCCACCCCCACCCCCTCGTCTACCGTTCCCGCCTTCATAGTTGATCGGTGACAGCACTTGCCCCCCGAACAGCCGAACAGCCTAATTGTCTACCTGGGGCACTTTTGTATTTGTGCATGGGCCCAGAAGGCCTTTGTCTGTGCGTCTGTCACGCGTGCGTCTGTTGTCCGTGACCGGGGAATTGAACCCAGGCGCTTTTGAGTTCAGAGTTTCGGTGCGTAAACCACACGGACACCCCAACCCCAACCCCAGTCATCTGCGACGGTGGTTGCGGTGCAAAAGCACATTTAACAACAACAACAACAAAACACAACTCAAGCCTCTGTGGCCTTAAAAAGAAAATTATATTATAATAATAACGAGGTGATTTTTCGAGACAATTTCCCTTCATCGAATCCGAGCAGTGAATTGACGAACGTGCTCCGAAGCAGGGCCGTTGTCCGAAACGTCGTCTATCGCAAATATATTTTACTTTCAAGCCCACGCACTGTATATTATTGACGAACGCGCTGAGTTGTCTTGTTATTCAAGCATCAATAGGCGCTCGCTAAGAGCACTTGCCCGAAACAGACTGTTCATAACTACGCGGGTGACCTTTGTCTTTGTATTTATTGGAGGTGCATGCGGCGACACGTAAACTGTTTACTGCTCGATGGTTGGGGTTGTGTAGGTCCGTGCGTGTATGTATGTACAAATGTGTGTATGTGTGTATATGTGGGGAGCGGTGGTGCAGCGGTTAGCACGCTGCGCTTAGAACCAGGCGACCCGGGTTCGATTCCCGCTCACGCCCAACACCGGTGACGATTATCTGAACCGGTTCTGGGCCTCGCTTAGGTCGACTCGCCCTCAAATGAGTACCTGGTGCGGTGTGTAAACATCGCCACTGGGGAGACAAAGGCGGCTGGACGTGGTGTTGGCCACCCACCCCCTCGTGTGCCGTTCTGACGTTCATAGGTGGTGCTACTCGCTAACAGCACTTGCCCCAACAGTCTGTTGAGGCTACACGGGGGATCTTTGTGAGCGGT